TTTATTTGATCTAAGGAATGGCAGGGATGGGCAGCAATCCCCTTCTGTTTTACCCATGAAGACCATGGTTTAGTATGGTCTGGAATGGGCATATTTATGTAGCAAAGATATTTTGAGGAAGTGATCTCATCAAACACTATCTATAGTTTATGTGATTGTAATGAACAGTGTGTGTTTTGTGGCCATGGAAATTATGAAAGTGAAGTGAACATGGCCTTACAGTGTAGGTTTTAGTACAATTCTAAGTGACTAAAGTATACCTGGACAGGCACCACTTACTATAGAGTGGGGTCCTGGTGATAGGACAGACCCCTGAAAAATAATATTTTATAACAAAAGAAAGGACATTTACCCAGTTACAGTCTCACTGAAGAGTGAAGGATGGCAACATGTGGAAGACAGTACCTTGACGAGCAATAAACAACCTCTCAAAGGAGATAATGGGAGATGAATATATGAGATTTAGTCCCAATGCTTGACAGATGAAGTACCTCCAACAGATGATGGGGTTGAGATGGAGGTAAATGGTAAGGTGCCTGAACAGATTGAAAACACCAGGAACTGGTTATGGGAAGAAGGAGACAAGGAATAAAAGGCCAATCAAATCACAAGCTGAACTCAATGGGTAAAAAAGAAGGGAAAAAATCATAAACAGGGGAACAGTGCAAGGGAAATAAACTGTGGGAAATGGAGTCAATGGAAAGCAATGAAGCAATTCAGAGCATGTAAGAGACAGTGAAGGTCATTCAGATCCAATTAAGAATAAAGGTGGAAGATGGCAAGAAACAAAAATGATGAAAAAGACCTAAGGAAAAAAACAAAAAACAAATTGAGCCAAAACAGTAAAAAAAACCACATTTATGCTGGCCAGGAAGGATCAAATAGAAAGACCTGAGCCGGAGTGACATGGATGATCAAAATCACCTTAGGAAGAAGAGTGATGGAATGGGAAAAACTAAAGATAGAAACTGGATCTAATTCTGTCTGAATGTATTGACAGCCAGGGTGAATGGATGATGAACTGGAGAACAAAAACAAAACAAGTAACTTGGAATTGAGAAAGGAGTCAAACGCTTCCCATTGAGGAGTACCTCACAGGAGGCAGAGCCACTAAAAATTTGATGATCAAGAGGTCACTCCTTGGAAAAAACTGTGTTCAAAAAGAGAGATTCACTGTATACCAGAAAAGGAACAAGAATGAGTGCTCCCTTGGCAAGTGACATAAGCCACCACCATCAAATAGTCGAAATGAAACATGATTAGTAAATTCAGACAAGAAAAAGAAAGTGAACTAAGGTATTTTGGACTGCTAGAAGTGCCATGATAAAACCTTTCATCCATAGACCATTGTCTTGATGCCTTCTGCTGATTGACCCATGAAGTTTGTGCAGACCCCAGCTCCAGGAGTCCACATAAACAAAGTTAATATGAAGAATTATAAAAGATAAATAATAACGAAAATGAAATAGAGATATTGTAACATTAAGTGTCTAGTGACAAGAACATATGTATGAGATGTAATGTTTTGAAGGAAAAACAATTTAGTTTAATTTAAAAACCCTAACCTAACAATAATACATTCAATATCGGGAGAAAAATTTGTGCAGACCCAGGCTTTAGGGATCCACATAAATTAATATGAAATAGACATTATATTGTAAAATTAAATGTGTACGAGATGTGATGTTTTGAAGAAAAAACAATTTTGTTAACCTAATTTATGATATACCAGTAAGATGAATTAAAGATAATCTTAAAATAACATAAACCCATGTTAAGCCTAATCTAACTTTATAGGACAAAGTATACAACTAAGCTCTAATTTCAAACCTAAATTTGACTATGAGTATTGACCAATCTAATTAAACTTATGTTATTGAAGCCAAATAACTATAGATAATAATATTAACAGTAAAAATATCCAAAAACCATAAAAGTATAATGTCTTATCTTTCCAAAGTCGGAGAGATGTATTTCAAAATATGTGGGCCCCCAAACTCACGTCGAGGCCCGACGAAGATCAGTTCATTGGATGATCAATCTCCTGACTAAGTAAAGCGGATAATTCCCCAATCAAAGACCACCATGTAAATGTGCTGATAGATGATATAAACTCCAAAGTGGTAACTTAGAATTCAGAATTTATAATTCAAAATGAATAACTAAACACAACCATGTTCACAGAAAGAAATAAAAAGTTGAAAAAAATTGTAATGAAGAATTAAGTTCCACAACTGGGTAGAAATATAAAATAATTCCACTTCAGAATAAGGTACAAATATCATTATTGTATAATAAATAGTAAACTTGTTGAGAAAAATTGATAGAAAGATATGAAAAAAAAACACTTGAAGAGAGCACAAACTAAACAGCAGAACCAGCACTACCAAATGAGAAGTGATAATTAGGTACAATAGCATAGAGGGAGTCACATGAGTCATATGGATGTGTTGCACTAGTATTGGTGGAGATTTGTTGCATGATAATTTGCATGCAAGAATCAGTTAAACCATGTGAATCAACGGGTGCATGGGAGTAAAAGGCTTGTGGCATGCAAAAATATGTTTACAAATATAGGGCATCACTGACTGAGAATAGCTATGTATGTGAGAAGAAGTAAGGTACCTTGTCTGAATCTGTATCACATACTTGCAAATCAAAATAACAATGAACATTCAATTATTACAAAACAGATAATTTATAAATACTAGTAGAGTAAGTTTTTTAAGTGAGTATATATAAGAGCATCTATACAGATTTAATTATTTCCTTTTTTTCAATGCAAATTACAGCAATTACCAGAGTTAAAACTTGACACTAAAACACATTTAACATTACTATATGACCTTAAAAAGACCATTTATGATCTATTTAAATATTATAAAAATCAAAATCTAGGGAAACAATAAATCTAAAAAGTTACTAAGTTCAGATATGTATTAAAACACAAGTTAGCATAATTTATGATCCAGTGATATTTATAAAACTACATCTTAAACAGAAATGGGTGATTACTTCAATTAATTAACATAATTCATTTCCTACAATAATAAATTTCATAAATTAATGTCACCTAAAATAATCAATTAATTGAACTGATGATTAACTCAATTAATGACATGAGAATAATCAACTAGTGTTTCTCACTATTACTGTTTCTGATTATTCCAACTATCAAGTAATCAAATAAGGATTAAATCGATTAATGTCATGAAAATAAACAACTAAATAAAGTTAGCATTTTTCCTCATCTGAAAACGTATTTCCGATAGATACTCACCTCTTCCTCGTGCACCTGCCTTAGAGATTTGTATGCCACTAGCCTTTAGATAACCCCCACTTAAATTCACAAAATTTCTTGTTATGATGTTATTATGTAGCAAAAATCCTCCACCAATAGGAGGGCCACATAACCTCCTAGTGCATTAACTCCCTCTATGTTTTTGTACTCACGATCATTCTTTGATGAGGCAAGGAAACTAAGTTACACAGGAAGTGGAGAGGAAAGGTGGGAATTGTGTGAAGAGATATCTATCGGAAACACTTTTCAGAAAAGGAAAATGCTAACTTCTAGGATGATACACTCCCCTGCATACAGAAAACTAGAATCCCACATTGATATGGTAGAGACACCACTGCAAAAGTTACCTAGATGAGCTCCCTCTAGAAAGTGCCTGAAGGAAACCCATATAGAGTGACACCCAATAGCATGGGCTCCATAGGGACACACTCAAGAAAGTCTTCATCTCATCTCTTCCATGGTACACTCTTCGCCTACACTGGAGGAAGAGTCAAACAAGACCCACGTATCACAGGTATGAGTGGAATAAGAACATGGCCATCCAAAGTACTTTCACACAAGAGATCAGGGGGCCAATATGTGTAGCGTGGTTGGGGCATGTTTAGATCATACTGAGTGCTTACCTCAACTCTACTGTCAGACTTATTGGACTGACACCTGTGGTAAGAGAGCACAGGAAGTATTAGTGTGTGTTGTTCTCAACTTTGTTATCAGACTCTTGGACCAACATCAGCTGTACTTTCACACAAGAGGTCAGGGGGCCAATATGTGTAGCGTGGTTGGGGCATGTTTAGATCATACTGAGTGCTTACCTCAACTCTACTGTCAGACTTATTGGACTGACACCTGTGGTAAGAGAGCACAGGAAGTATTAGTGTGTGTTGTTCTCAACTTTGTTATCAGACTCTTGGACCAACATCAGCTGTGGGAGGAGCACACAGGTGACGTGCCATAGATTGTATAATGGTAGAATGTGCATTGATTTAAGAGAATAGTCACCTACTGGAGGAGGAGGGTACAATTTATTAGGAAATGTGCACCCCAAATCAACTGAACAGGAGATGATTGCAAGTATTCGGTGGGTCAACAATACTAAAATTTGAATTATAATCTACAGTTTGATACCAAACTTATTGATATAAATTCATGAAATAGTATCAAACTGGTGTATTTAAGAATAGACCATTCCAAGCTTTTACTTGTTAAACAAATGTTTAAACAACTCTATTTAATCAAACATGAAATAATAGTTCAATAGAATTTTGAATGTGAGTTAACAAACAAGATGACATGGCCTTTCACCCATGACCTGTTTCGATTGGGTTAATATATTTTTATTTTTACAACTCTCCAAGTAACTGAAATATTGCTACTTTTTTTCTTATTAAACACAAATTACACAATGACATCTCTATACTCTGCTCATCACTGGTATCAAAACTCATTTTTTAACATTATAAGTTGTTTTTTATTAAGCCATCTCATGTGAAAATAATTTATTAGTTGAATAGTTCAATATAATCAGTTAATGAGCCTGACGATCAATCCATTAAAGTTCCACTAATAGCCCAGCTGTAATCCGAAATGTGATTTTAAACTTAGTAGAAAAACTTCACTGTATTTATTATGTTGAATTTAATTTTTTTATTTCACATTTATTATTTTATTAAAAACAAAACAAAATGATTAAGATACTCACATAAAACGTTAAAAATAGCAGTACTATCTGTTTTTCCACATGAATTAGCAGCCTCGCAAGTGTATTTCCCTGCAAGATCTGTTGAAACCTTTCTAGCAATAAGTTTGTATATCCCTGTCTGATCATCGGCAACAGTTTTGTAATTTTCACTTGAGGTGATGTCCAGTTCATCAATAAACCTAACAAATTATAATACTAATGACTTATAGAAACAGAATAAATGTATGTCAAAATTAATGCATTTTTAACCTTTTAAATGGCTTATTTATCTTGTCAACTTTGTTAAAATACATCATAATCAAACACCTTTCTTTAAAACAATAATTATTATTAACATTGATTCAACTCAAATATTTAATACAGATAAGCAATGCTTCAACCATTATGCTTTTGTCATCATCAGACATATTCAAGTTGTGTGAAACAAGAATAACAATAATAACATAGTATAGTATTACTGAGAAAAGCACAGTGTTGTGAACTAGGGAAAAGATAAACATATAAATATATATATATATATGAATATATCTATTTTCAAACCAATCATCAGTTCAATAAGCTCACCTTGCCATCACTCAGCAACATTTTTGGTTCCCATCCTATCGTTGCTACAGAATGACAAACTCGCTACAACCATCCATCAGAAACATACTCATAATGGCAGATACTTAAAATCACCGCTACAGAATGACAAACTCGCTACAACCATCCATCAGAAACATACTCATAATGGCAGATACTTAAAATCACCGCTACAGAATGACAAACTCGCTACAACCATCCATCAGAAACATACTCATAATGGCAGATACTTAACTTTCCAGTCTTACTGTTTAATGCAGTATTATTATATGCTTAAATGACAGTGCAGAAAATATCCAAACTAAACACCTATTCATCTTACAGTGTATTAAACCGAATGGATACCCTTCCAGTTCATCATCAATAACTTGAACAAAAATATACAAATTGATGGCACAGACAAGAAAAACAATACCAAAATTATTTATCTCTCATTTGTGCAAAACCTAAGTAGAAAGATCAAATGTGTACCCAAAAAGTTCAACATTAATATCCACTAAAAATCTTACAGAAAAGTAGACCATGTCATGTTAACTTGACATAAAATAGATTATGACAATTACCAGTTTATAAACTCAAACAAGTTCTGGAAAACAAGAAAAATCAAAGAATCCTTCTACATCAACATGATAGAACCACTGCTAAACAGATACTCAGATCTGGAAATCAGCAGTTTCTGGCTACCATTGGTCAAGTCATCACTCGCTCCACAAATACAGAACAAGGACCACCAAACAATTATGTCACATCCATCTAAGTCCTCCCAGGTAGCATATAAACACCTGCAAAACTAGTATTAGCTGACCTGAAGATAAAAAATGCAAGTCTTTAAAAATGTCATTTTTCCCATCTCTGCCACTTTTGTATAAAGTCCTCCAAGACTTCTTCCACGAGTGTCACGCTGAACTAGGCAGATGTTGCTAATTTCATTTTTGTTTGTTCATTATAAATATATTGCTATTATGTTAGGGACTATAACCAACTTATTGTTTATGTGAAATAAAAGTCGAAATGTGTTAAAAAAAGATTATGAAAGATTTAAACTTTTTCATTAGGAATCTTATGCCTGTTTTGCAATGCATTACCTAGAACTGTAAAGTCTCTATATTATTATAACTTGTGAATAACAGTTAAAAATAAAACGTATGTGATAACATATTAATTGCAGTGTATCAGACACATCCAGTGCTGATGAAGACCTTCACCCAATATCAGGGATTTTCAGGCTGGATGGGATATGACAGAAATAGTAGTGGTTTTAGATATTATTTATATTAGCAAACTGCACGAACAACAACTGTTTTGGTGTAAAATGGATTAAGAAGGTGAAGTTCAATTTGTATGAATTTTATCTAAATCATGACTGCAGAAGTGGGTGGACTTGAAAACTTTACATACATACATAAACATGTACTATTAATTTATGTGTATAAATCTTCTGACTATTGTCTTAATTAAGATGGTTACATAATAAAACACTTTTATCACAAGTTTTGTCATACGTATACTTTCTTTCATCCTCAAAAAATGTTTTAAGTGGATGTTATGTATAAGCCTTAGGCCCATATCAGATACAACTGTTCCATTCATAACTTATTTTTTCACAGTAATAATATCTGTAAACATCCACTATCCACTCTAAATACAATAAAACGTTTTTCCTTTCTAAGTATAGGGTATGAACAAGAATATAGGACTTTTTGCAACTGTCGATAATTTTTGTAAGTTGCTAAATTTCTGCTTCAGAAATGTTTTGGTTGGTTTCTCAGTAATACGTTCTTAGCATCCTCTATGAACATTCAGTGTTTGTGTTAGCTGTAATACATCAATGTTTTATAGATAAACTTCCTCCAGGACCAAAAAAAAGGCACTGTCAGTCTCTGGGATTGAAAGATTTTTAACAGGCCAAGATGACCATGGAAACTAGATGAAACAGAGTGGATGACTATTGAAACTGGATGAAACAGAGTGGATGACTATTGAAACTGGATGAAACAGAGTGGATGACTATCGAAACTGGATGAAACATAGTGGATGACTATCGAAACTGAATGAAACAGAGTGGATGACTATCGAAACTAGATGAAACATAGTGGATGACTATCGAAACTGGATGAAACAGAGTGGATGACTATCCAAACTGGATGAAACAGAGTGGATGACTATCCAAACTGGATGAAACAGAGTGGATGACTATCGAAACTAGATGAAACATAATGGATGACTATCGAAACTGGATGAAACAGAGTGGATGACTATCGAAACTAGATGAAACATAATGGATGACTATCGAAACTGGATGAAACAGAGTGGATGACTATCGAAACTAGATGAAACGTAGTGGATGACTATCGAAACTGAATGAAACAGAGTGGATGACTATCGAAACTGAATGAAACAGAGTGGATGACTATCGAAACTGGATGAAACAGAGTGGATGACTATCGAAACTGAGGGTTCAGATTATGTTACAAAAATATGTTCATTATGCCAAACTTTCGAACCCAAACATCAATGCCTTAGAAATTTTAGTAGGAATTTTATAGTGAGAGTTACTGGAAGTGCACTGAAAAAGGACAATATTATGAAACATACATAAGGGTAATATGACAACTTCTTCAGTAAGAATTCATTATATCAGTCACCCAATGATAACTACGTCAGCCTACACATACAAGGCCAATACACAGTGTATAGTAGGTTAATCTTTGGAGCATCTGTGGACTAGGTTCATGTTATATAGCCTACTAGTTGATCTCATTCTACAAAATTATTGGACTGTACAATTACCTTTAACATTTTGTTTTCCTCTTGCAAATTGGGCTGTGTATATTTTATCAACATCTTATGAAGATGACTGCATGGTTAATAATTTTTGGCTTTGTTTTATCTTATGTACAGTATGAAAAGACAAATAAACTGTTCAATTTCCTTTATGAAAGGAATGTAGAAAATACACAGACACAATTTTATTTTTATAAAATAATTTGCTTAGGCTAAAAGATACTGTAATGATAGTAGTACATATGGGTTGAAAAAGAAAGGTAGTTAAGGTTTCTGTGTGGGGGACAGAATATTTCTAAATTTAAAGTGAACACCCAGTGAAATTACATTTTAGCTTATAAATTATTTCCTGATTAACTCTAAATTTACAGCAGTGTACCCATATAGCCTATTGTATAACCAACAAAAAACATGATTATAAAAAATAATATTTTCCAACTTTTAGGTTTCAAATTTCACATGCAAAACCCCTAGAACCTCCAAAGTCAATATCAAAAGTTTTTTAATTTCAGTTAAATATTTATTTATTGTTTCAATTTCTCTATGATATTACTAACTATAGCTATTATGGTCAACTTATGCCATATAGTCTATAGCACATTACAATGAGATATTTAAAATTAAGGCATAGGAAAAAAAAAGGCTATGTGTAAAGCTGAACAAAGAGAGTGAGAATGAGTTGCAAAGCTTATATCAAGACCAAAGAAGAAACAGCTTTCAAGAAGTTTAATACACTTGTAGCAGTGGATAAAGAAACATGGTGTGGATCTTGGGGAACATATCATAATGAAATGGGTTGCAAGGAATTAACGTCATGTATAAATGATGATATTATGATCCAAGATTTGAAGGAACTGATCAATATGGCACAGCTTTATTCAGTTTTAACTGATGGTAGAACTGACACTGGTGTTCACACAAGGGAGCTTATATACATAATATTTGTAAATGATGAAGGACAATTAAATTCAACTTTTTTGGGTCTGAAAGATGTTTCAAATGGAGCTGCAGAGGGTTTGAAGAATACTTTTTTTAAGTATGGACATGGAACATTACAATAAATACTTGGTAGGAATAGATGCAGATGGAAAAGGGGTTTAGCTGCTCTAATGAGGTCTGAAATGTGTACTGCTTCAACTATAGGTTATAACTAGGGGTGCATATCTCATCATAGCAGTCGATATGATACGTATCAAAATATTGATGCCACAATATAATACGTATCTAGATACAGAAGTTTTACCAATGGTTTGTTACAAAGTTTGCAGTATTGTTTGTAATTTATCATTCATATTACTAGCATTGTCTTATTAAAGTACTTCACACTTTACAGTGCTTTTTCAAATTCTCAGGTTTGATCAACTAATTGGCAGCTGGCAAGAGAAGTAAAGTAAAAAAAGTTAATATCTATTTTGTTATTATTAATTTGTTATGTTACTTTGCATGTAATGTTTTTGATAAAAGAAATGAAGATAACATGTAGAACTCAATACTCATCTTCCTTTATTGAATCATTCGTTTTTAGCATAAATAGTTCATTATTAGAAATTCTGATTTTTTCTGTACTGAAAGCTTGCCAAATTTCGTGAAGATACATAAATCAAATCGTATCGGAGGATGTATCGATACAATTGTATCATGACTTCACTATGTGATATCAGTATCGTATCGCCTTTAGCTAAAACTAATCAAGAGGGATGAACTTGGCAAAACATAATTCTCTGAGATAATTAACACTTTAATGACATTGTTTTATGTCTATAAAAATAGTTCAAAAAGACTTAGGAAGCTTAGGTCTCTTGGCACTATTATG